GACGCACACGGGTGCAATCATCGTAAGTATCACAAACGTGTTTATCTTTGATAGTCAAAAGTGCGTTAAAGCCTTTGCATATGAATTGAATGTATGGCACATGGACTCATGTTTTGTACTATAAATTTCTTTGGTACCATGTGTGCATTAATGTGCTGTAAACAGTGTGTGGTAGTGGTCAACGTGTGCAAAAGTTCACAGAAACCTGTGCAATCCTACATAGTCTGTGCGTAGGTGTATATTTTTGGAAGTCAAAATTGAGATAAAGCTTGTACATTTGAATGGGTCACGTGTGCAACCGTAATAATTAGTATAACTTTTAGGCAAAAACAACTTTCTAGATAGCATAACACGAGATCCAAATATGTATAAAGCAGAAAGGGAAAAAAAAACACCCAACCAATAGATTGTCAAAACTTAGTTTGAAAGGAACAACATTGAACCGTCCTGAACACTGAAACTCGACAGACGAGCATGTAAGTCAAAAGATAACGTAACCAAAGCACGATGTAATTAAACAATAGTGGATGTATATTGGCTCGCACACTTCATATTCTTCATGAGGTGCGAATTGGTCCCTGCACGCATAGACGTATAAGCTGCTTTGTAAACACCATACACATGAAACAATATGCACAAATTGTAAATACATATTAAAAAAACTACGCATAAAGACTACAGACACACCTATCTTAAACACATATTACCGTACGAATGCACGCACAAAACAAAATGACCCAACTATTTTAAGAATGGGCGAATGTTTACCCATATAAATGTGTCATAATACATACCCGCAAATGTTTAACCATGTACATGCACATAGTATTTGACCATACGCACACGCCATAATTAATACCACACACATGCACACAACATAAACCTATGTTGGAAAATCTATGTAGCTACAAAAAAGAATTAAATTATGAAATTTTAATCTAAAATATCATTCTTATATTCTTTTTATACAATCAAATAAATTATATTCTATTTCTTTTTAATACCTTCTAAATTTCAATCATTGCAAAATTTCATTTCAATTCTCTTTATTTTCATTTTGCAATTGTGTTGTCTTACTATATAGCTATGTATTTTTTAAAAATTAGGATATAGGTTTTGTTGGTTTAGGAAATCTGTAGTGTGATAAACACCAACGCAAACACCACCACACAGAGTTGCACACACCAACCACACAAACCAACAACACTCTCTTGGCGGACCCAGGAGACCACCACAAGCAACTAAAAACAAACAACGTCTAAAGCAAACAACCTCAGTACAAAAACAAAAAATCATGAACATAAAACACAACATAGAAAATATCATTTAAGCAAAAAAATTAAATTGCACACACACACACACACCAACTACCAACCGCCACACAACGCCATCACCGGAAAAACTCACTACCCAACCCACTCCACCCTGCCGCCTACCCACCACCATGCTACGAAACCACCATGACCACCTTCACCCCATAGCAACGACAACCACCACCACCACCCCCCCCCCCCCCCCCCCCCAAAAAAAAAAATCCACTGCCAACACCGTCACCCATCCCACTCCCCAACCACCACTGCAGTGTGTGAGAAAACCCACTGCGGTGTGTGCGAACACCCTACCACAACCCTCACCCTCGCCCCCCTCCTAACAACCACCGCAAACATCCACTGCCAACCACCGCCCCTGTAACCCCATAGCACACAACCGCGACTAGAGACCATCCTAAACCCCAAAATCACACAGACAAAACCCAAAAAATCGAAAACCCTAACCCACTACATTAACAATAACGAATTCAATTAAATTTAAAAGAAAAATACCTGCATCAACACGAGAAGACGGCGCCCTTCACTTAGACCTACGAACTCCGGAATCAGCCATAGCGAAGATGTTCACGCAAAACACTAGACGACCCTGCGCTTAAACCAACAAGAAAACGGCGACCGCAGAAAACCCTATTAAACCCTCCTGGAGCAGCGTTGTTCCAATTGTTGACGTTAATAAATTTGTAATTTTTTAAACACAAAAATAACTAATATTAATGTAATAAGTCCTAATAAATATTCAAATACAAATGCATTAATCCATAAGTCAAAGAAGTAAATGCATTGAATATGAATAGTTAAAAAGTAAATGGTAATATATCAAAGAAGTTAAAGATAGGTCAAATGAGGCTAAACCTTATTAGAAACTAATGAATTTGATGGAATTACTTGGTGTTGGACAGAAGCTTGGAGGGTTGAGACAGCATCCTCTTTTCGAAATGTAACACTAACTGCTATGTAAATATAAATAAATAAGTTGTGCATTTATTACTAGGTATAACTTTTTACATAGTGATAATTTAATGTTAAATCTTGACAATTGGTATGAGAACATGTCACGATTTTACACATTTTCTAATTAGAAAACTTTAATTAATTTTCAAGAACGCTAATTAACTCTACGCAAATGTTCATGTTCATGCATTTTTTTTTAAATGCAAGTTGAGGCATTACAAACATAATAAAGATTAGTCTATTTTGAGTATTTTCTCATACAACAAATGTTTGAAGGAAAAAATATGATAATTTTTATATTATGTAACCATTCTCAATAACGTAATAATTAACTAATTAATAAGTGTATATTTGTCTCAACTTAGTAATCTATCAAAATCAAGTTTATAGTTGATTATGTCAACCAACAATACCAAAATCCAATAGTTATGCTGTGCAACCGAATGTACCATGCGCATGGTGCATACGGTTCAAAACGACGTCGTTTTGATTAAAAACGCGCGTCCCACTTTAAAAAAAAAAATCAGGTTCGACTCTCAGCAATAGCATTATTGTGGATATATAGTTATGAAATTGTGGATATATAGTTATGAAATTATGGTTATATAGTTATGAATTTATGGATATTTAGTTCATTCATTGTGGATATTTAGTTCAATCATATATTGTGGATATTTAGTTCATTCATTGTGGATTTTTACTTCATTTATTCATTCATTGTGGATTTTTACTTCATTCATTCACTGTGGATATATAGTTATGAAATTCTGGATATATAGTTATGAAATTGTGGTTATATAGTTATGAATTTATGGATATTTAGTTCATTCATTGTGGATATTTAGTTCAATCATATATTGTGGATATTTAGTTCATTCATTGTGGATTTTTACTTCATTCATTCATTCATTGTGGATTTTTACTTCATTCATTCATTCATTGTGGATTTTTAATTCATTCATTCACTGTGAATATATAGTTATGAAATTCTGGATATATAGTTATGAAATTGTGGTTATATAGTTATGAATTTCTGGATATATAAAAATGCTATTGCCGGGAATCGAACCTGATTTCTCCTTTAAGTGGGACGCGCGTTTTTTTAACCAAAACGGCGCCGTTTTGCAACCGTATGCACCTTGCAAGGTGCATTCGGTTGCACAGCATAATTTGCGACCAAAATCATACAGCAATTAAAAAAAAATGGTATTTTGTCTTAATTATAACATTATTTTACTTGTATGAACCAATCTCTTCATTAATTTAAAATTATATTCAGATTAAAAGAAGGTATGCCCCCATGCAGGATCGAACTACAGACCTTCAGTTTACAAGACTGACGCTCTACCACTGAGCTATAGGGGCTTGTTGAGCAAATTTTTACCTGTATTTTAGAGAGAGAAAATTATTTCTATTTAAGAGAATGAATAAATTCAAATTTAACTTGCTTTAAAATGAAATTACTAGTTTAAATATACTTTATACTTAATATCTTTGTCTTGAAACAATAAAAAAATTAAAAAGACAAAGCATGTTACGTTGTTCTTAAGTGTGATATATATATATATATATATATATATATATATATACTAGTCGAGGGCACGCGCTTTGCGCGAAACGTCATGCCCAACAATCAATTATTATGTTCTAATTTTTTTATTTTTTATTTTTAAAACGAGTATATTCTAATTTTTAAATAATAATATATATAATTTTTAATAATTGTTATATGACAAAATAAATAAGTTATTTAGATACCAACATGATATACAAGAATTGAATTAGGAACATGCGAAAGGACATTAGATTTGGTTTTAAAGGAGAGAATGGAGATGTTAGCTAGAACAATGTAGTGGTTTTCTAAAAACAAAATGTTAAAAAAAATGGAGTGTTGGAATGATGGAGAAAAAAGAAGACAAAGATCAAATCAAGGCAAAGAGGAAGAAGACAAAAAAGTAATGGTAAAGTTGTTATTTCTTTAAAATTTGAGGGCAATTAAAATGAAAAAATAAATCAAAAATTAGATAAAAAAAGTTCATCCATTAGATTTGAAATCAATGGTAAGCAAGGGGTGCCATTTTTGAGGGGCAAATGGCAACTCCCAAATATAAGTATAGGGGATATATATATATATATATATATATATATATATATATATATATATATATATATATATATATATATATATATATATATATATATATATATATATATATATATATATATAGAGAGAGAGAGAGAGAGAGAGAGAGAGAGTTAATTACCAAAATGGTTCCTTGACTATTGTGAAATTACCGATTTGGTCATCGACTATTTTTTTTACTCAATAAAATCCTCGACTTTATAAATGTTAACCAATATAGTCCTCCGTTAGGTTTAAGGTTTAACATCTGTTAAAATCAAGGTTAATAAAGGAATTTCACTCTTCTATCCTCTACTTTCCTTCCCGTCGTCACATTTCTGCTTCGCGAGGCCGGGATGGACCGCCAGAGACTCCCCAGAGTAATTCGCCGACGGTTGCGGCTGCTCACCTGCCCCGTGGATGAACATCTCCGTCCAACGCTCCATTTCCTGCAAACCAGCATCGGAATCGAGGACGTTTCCAGATGGGCGACTCTTTTTTGCTGCTCCGTCGACTCCAAATTCATACCCAGGCTCCGATGTGTGATTATCAACCATTGCCTAATAACATGCAATCCATATACTCCATTGGGGGTAATGAGTGGGTTGGATCCTTATGATTTGCATAACATTGACAGTATGGATGTTAGGTTTGACCAACCACTAAGGGTGCCTGGAGGAGATATCTACGACACAGTAGATGCTGTAACTCAACCTTTGTGTGGGGACGAGCCTCTACCCTACTTCGATTCTGATTATTCGTTTCACAACTCCAGCTTTGAACATTCTGATTCTTATCTACAGAGCGCTGTGAATAGTTTTTTGTCTCGCACAACGGTCACCCCAAACAAGGCACAAAGGAGATGGAAATGTTGTTCAGTGTATTGAAGTGGTTCTTGGTATGCATTTGGAGTCGATGGAGCAACAACGTTATGACGGGAGGAGAGAGGGATGAAATTCCTTTATTACCCTTGACTTTAACAACCCCAAACCTAACGGAGGACCATATTGGTTAACATTTACAAAGTTGAGGACTTTATTGAGTAAAAAAAATAGTCAAGGACTAAATTGATAATTTCATAATAGTCAAGGGACCATTTTGGTAATTAACTCATATATATATATATATATATATATATATATATATATATATATATATATATATATATATATATATATATATATATATATATATATATATATATATATATATATATATATATATATATGTAGGGTCGCACTCAGGTGTGGCGACCCCTTCCCGTGTGGTCATGTGGCGATTTTCAGAATACACCAATAGTTACGTAAGATATACACCATCAACGTTAGGAAATGCACCACAAAAAACGCACACAAATTAGGTACTCATTACCAACAACACACCATTAGGTGTGAGTAAAAATACCATACAGTGTTCGAAAATACACCATTGGGATTGGTGAGTTATATGGTTATTTTTTGGGTCTATTGTGTATTTTTTGGTGTTTTTTTACATTTCATTGTGGTGTGTTTCCTTTACACTATTGGTGCATGTTGTTAACACTGTTGGTGTATTATGAAATTCCGCCACACGACCACACCTAACAACATGACCACATATGAGCATTATTATTATTATTATTATTATTATTATTATTATTATTATTATTATTATTATTATTATTATTATTATTATTATTATTATTATTATTATTATTATTATAGATTCCGGATCAGGTGAGGACCTATCCTTAGGTGAGGACGTGAGGACTAATCCGATCCTTTCATTTAATTAAGCAAACGGCTGTGATTTAATTATATGCAATGAATTTAATTTTTCATACTCATTTTGTTGTGCATTCGTACTCAGTTTGTTGTGCATTCATTCTCAGTTTGTTGTGCATCCTGTGTTAGTTTGTTGTGCATTTTGTCCAAGTTTGTTGTGTATTCATATTGTGATTGTTGTGCATCCATCCCACTTTTTTGGGCACCGCGTTTTTGTTTTGTCGTAACCTTTAGATCACTCAAAATGGATGATCTGGATTAGTCCTCACGTCTTCACCTAAGGATAAGTCCTCACCTGATTCGAAACCTATATATATATATATATATATATATATATATATATATAATAATAATGCTCATATGTGGTCATGTTGTTAGGTGTGGTCGTGTGGCGGAATTTCATAATACACCAACAGTGTTAACAACATGCACCAATAGTGTAAAGGAAACACACCACAATGAAATGTAAAAAAACACCAAAAAATACACAATAGACCCAAAAAATAACCATATAACTCACCAATCCCAATGGTGTATTTTCGAACACTGTATGGTATTTTTACTCACACCTAATGGTGTGTTGTTGGTAATGAGTACCTAATTTGTGTGCGTTTTTTGTGGTGCATTTCCTAACGTTGATGGTGTATATCTTACGTAACTATTGGTGTATTCTGAAAATCGCCACATGACCACACGGGAAGGGGTCGCCACACCTGAGTGCGACCATATATATATATATATATATATATATATATATATATATATATATATATATATATATATATATATATATATATATATATATATATAGAGGATCATATGAGGTCATGTTCCCACATGAGGTCTAAGGTCAAAATCTGGCCGTTGATTATGTGGTGATCTATGGTTGTTGTTGATTTGGGTTTTTATTTTGTCATTTTTTTTTTCTTTTTCCGCGTGAGTGTGTAAGGACCTTTTTGTCTTTGTATTTTTCTTTCCTATTTATTTGGTGTCTTTGTCGGGTGAGTTTCTCATTTTTAGGAGTGTTATACATGGTAAATAAAGATTTTGAGCATTTATATTCTGATGTAGTAATCCACTTTATACAGTTTGTAGTGCTTGTGATTTTTCCTTTCATCGTTTCATAGTTTTTCAATTTTTTTGTCTTTCTCTGCGTGAAGGCGTATGGATTCTCCAGGTTAGTTTTTCCGTTTGTTTCTTGTATATTTTTTCTGAGCATCGGGTAGTGGTTGGTTTGTGTATAAGTATGTGTCTATTTGTATGACATGCGTTCTAGGTGCCGTGGTTTGATGTTGGTTATCGAGTTTTAATTTTTATATATAAGTCTGGGGTCTTGGATTATTGATTGGGTAGTTGGTTTGGTTTTATGTCGTAGTTGTATTTGTTATTTTCATTTTTTAATAACTGCAATTGCCATATGTTTTTCGTTTTAATTTGTTTTGGTAAATTATGCTTTTCGGTATTTGTTTGACATTATGGCTTATGTGTGCTGGGTTTGTGTTCGATGGTAGGATGTTGTCGTGGTAGTTTGTGTATTTCGGTGTAAATGGTTGTTGCATTTCGTTATAGATTGTTCTGCTAATTTATGGATTTCGGTGGTGGGTTGACAACATTGCTTGTGTGTTTCTGGATTTGGTTCGCTGTTAGTATATTATGTTGTTAGTTTTGTGCATTCCGGTGTACATGGCATTTGCATTTTATATTGGTTTTGAAGGGTTTTGGTTTGTAGGGGGTAGGGGTTTTCTTCGTAAAGTGCATTTTGTGTTATTTGATATGTGCAAGCAGCTTGTTTTTTTTTTTTTGGAATGATATGCATGCCGTTTTATTTTGACCGGTTTTGTGTTTGTGTGTATATTTCTGTTTGATGTTTGTGCAGCACGGTCGGAATCGCAGCAAGGGTGTGTTATGGACGTGTCCCCCGATGGGACTAAGTTTTGGACGCCTTCGTGTGATGCGGCGGTTAGGCCTTTTGAGGGGCAGACTTTTCCTTCTCTCGCTCACGGTATTGATTTTTATCGTCAGTATGCGTCGCTCGTTGGTTTTGATGTACGTTGTAGTTCGTTGCGTAGGAATAGGGAGGGTGTTGCCGTGAAAGACTTGTTGGTTTGTTCGCGTGAGGGCTTCAAGCAGGCGGTGCAGGGCTCTGTTGTTGTGGATGCTGCGTTGGATCAAGCACCTGTGGCTCCGAAGCGCCGGCGTGTTTCAAATAGGGTGGGGTGCAGAGCGAGGTTGGTGTTGAAGATGGGTGACGATGGGGTTTTTGTGGTTCATTTCATTGAGCTACGGCATAATCATTGTTTGTGCTCGGATGTGGCTAAGCCTTTCTTGCGGGGTAATCGTTCCATGGATGTGCAACATCAGATTTTTGTGCTTAAGTGTGCTAGGGCCAACGTTGGGCCCAATAGGTCGTTTCGTTTGGCTAGGGAGTTTGCTGGGTCGTATTCAAATGTTGGTGCGACATGTGTCGATTTTAAAAATTTGAAGCGTGATTTAATGGCATTTATTAGAACGTCAGATGCTCATATTGTTGTGAAAAAATATGCTAAGAAGGTAGATGATTGCCCGGATTATGTCTTTAGATATGATGTTGATTCTCAGGATCAGTTATGTAGGGCTTTTTGGACTGACCCTATTGCGAAGGAAAATTTTTTAGCTTTTGGAGAGGTGGTGTCGTTTGATGCAACCTATGGGACTAATAGGTAAGCCACGTGTTCTTAAAAAAAACTTTCTTGTTGTTGTTTTTTTTTTTTTTTTTTATTACTGGTATGTGCAGTTTATTGTTATGTATTTGTGCAAGCAGTATGCTAAAAACCATGGGGTTTTTTTTTTCGTTGGTCTAGTGTTATGTATTGCAGGTATGGTATGGTGTTGGTCCCGTTTACTGGTGTTGATAATCACAAGAGAGGTGTCACATTTGCAATGGGGTTGATTTCCCGTGAAGATGTGGACTCTTACGTGTGGCTTCTCCAGCAATTTAAAAGTGCAATGAGTTGTGTGCCTAGTTGCACTATCACTGATCAAGATCCTTCGATGCGGGTTGCAGTCCCTCAGGTGTTTGATACTACGCGGCACAGGTTTTGTATGTGGCATATTATGTCAAAGGTTGGCGAGAAGGTTGGTAATGTTCTATCTAAAGATGAAGAGTTTCGGCGCGCGTTGAATGATGTTGTTTGGTGTGAGACGTCGTCTGTGGAGGAGTTTGAGCGGGGTTGGCAGGACGTTATGAAAAAGCATAGCCTTGGTGACCACCGATGGTTTCGTCTTATGTATGATCTGAGATCGTATTGGATCCCTGCGTATTTTAATGATATTTTCATGGGTGGATTGCTTCGCACGACATCGAGGTCCGAAGCTGCGAATAGTGTGTTTGGTAGTTGCACAAACCAGCATGCTAGTTTGTCTGAGTTGTTCAACAATTTTGAAGGGGCTATTGATGCTCAACGTTTGGCGCAAGCCAAACTAAATGCCGAGTGTGAGGGTCATTTTCCTTTGTGCTAGACTCCAATGTTGATTGAGAAGCATGCGGCTGCGGTGTACACTATTAATGTTTTTTATGATGTGCAAGCCGAGGTTATCGCGGGATCTTTTTCGTGTCGTGCTGTGCGTTCAAATGTTGAAGGGCTGGTAACCCGGTATGAGGTTGAAGATGATGATGGCCCGGTACGCACCGTGAGTTTTGACTCTGGTAATGATGGTGTTGAGTGCACGTGTAACATGTTTTCACGGGTTGGGTTACTTTGTCGTCATATTTTCTGGGTTTTCAAGGATCGTAGGGTTGTTTCTATCCCTTCTCGGTATGTGATCGCACGTTGGACAAGGGGGGCTTGTGTGCGACAGGTGTTGGGTGTTCAACGTGGTGGCGATTCGGAGGTAGATGTCGCAATTGGTGAAGCTTGGGCAGAATTTTTTTCGTGCGTGACCATGGCTTCACGGAGTGTTGAGCATGTTACCAAGTTGAATGCAGCCCTAAAAGATTTCAATGCTTTTTTATTGGCTGAGAATGGTCCTACCGTTCGTGCTTCTTCTTCTAAGAAGCAACTTTTTGAGTCGTTTTGCGGTGCTTCGCCAGATGGTCAGGTTAATGTTCGTCCTCCTCCAATCTCTAATAACAAGGGTGGTGGCAAACGTTACAAAAGTACAAGGGAATTAGCTATTGAAAAGTCGGGGCGTCGACAACGCCAATGTCAAACTTGTGAAAAGTATGGGCATAATAGTCGTACCTGCCCGATGCGCAACGTTGACGTTTGATGAAGGGGGTCGTATTGCTCTTTGGTTTAAATTTGAATTTAAACATGTTGCTTTGTTTTTTACTTCGTCACTGACTTGTGTTTATTTCGCATTTGATTTGGGTTTCAATAATGGATTTGGTGTGGTTTTTTTTATTGGATTTGTGTTTCTATTCTGTTTATTAATTTTATATTTCCCCTTTTTTAGATAGGATGGTCGTGGTACTCTTTTATTCCGTTTTCATTTATTCAGTAACCACTTCCATCTTGCACAGTATAGTATTTTGTGGATGCACAAAGTAACTGGAATTTTATGCATGTTTGCACATATCTTTCCTTTGAGGTTGCACAACAATTTATTTGCCTTTGTAATTCGGTTTCGCGTCTTGTCTTGCACCCCCCTTTGATGTACCCTATTATTTCAACTCGGGGGTGTCATGCGGACATGCATGTTATTAACACTACAATGTTAAGTTGACTTCTTACCAGCGCTAATACGTCCCCCTACTGTGATGCATGTTGTGTTTCTGTGTGGGTGTACATCATATTAACGTGTCAAAATCTATTTAGTGGACTACGGGTTATTTGTTTTTGACATACGGTGGTATTATTTCATTCTTTTTCCCCACATTATGATGCCACATCCCACTTGCACAGTTCCGGTCATTGTGGTTGCACGCGGTCACTGGAATTTTATGCACAGTTGCACGTATGCTCCCATCAATGTTGCACAGTATTTCATCTGCACTATACCCGTTTGTGTTTTTTTTTATTACCCGATTTGTTAACGTACCACTATCGCACAGTCTAGGATTGGGACTTTGACATTAAATCTGGGTTTGTGCTCTGTCTTGCACGTTCGGTTCCCTCGCTTTGACCGATCATTGTGACTAAGGGTGGTCATGCCAACATGCATTTCAATACAACTTTAAACTTAAGTTGGTTTATTACACTTGTGCCTATCACTCCTACCGTTGTTCATTTTCTTTTTCTTCGTGGGTGCACACTACCTTCACGTGTCTTAATGTTTGTAGCGATCTACGGGGTTATTTTTTGTTGCCATTGTGCAGTGCAGTACTTTAGTAACCGCCGATGCACACACCCGTACATTCGGATATAACGTAATTGCACAAAGGTGTAATCCACTGAAGCACGAATTAATAAGTGTGCATTTAGAGCAGAATACCTTGTTAAATAAAAACCATGCATCTACATTTCGCACAACTTTACCCAAAAAAAGTTGTCCCTTGCCAAAAAAATACTACAAGTGTTAAACCTTTCATTGGTGTCCTTAGTCATGGGTTTTAAAGTCGTCAAAAAAAAATGCACAATCACACATTTTACTTGCTTAGCGGAATTGCGTGAACACTCCCTTGCCGTACAGTGGTGAGCTTTGGAGGCTTTTGTTGTGTTGCTCATTGCATTCGCTGAGCAGGATTTTCTTCATGTACTTCGCTCGGTATTCTTCTATTTTGGCTTTGTCTCCCTTGGTCAGCCCACATTCCCAATTCTTCGCTTTCTGCCCAATGAAGGATTCCATGTGCCTCATTGTATATACTCCACTGTCTGGGCTTTCTGTTGCATCCCTCCAAGGCATTTGCATTCTCTTTGGTTCCATTTCCAGTATTTCAGCCGCCCTTTTATGGTCTTTGTTATCGTCTAGGAAGCACCCGAGCATGTCCTTCTGGTTTCATACATAGACACGGTTAGTAACTTTTATCATATCACCGGTTAGCAACACATTTATATCTATATTGCACCTAAAGAGCAGTAACAGATGCACAGTTCCTATGAATAGAAGCTCTTACCTCGTAACAGTTGCACAGTTCCTATGCTTACAGCAGTAACAGATGCACATTTATATCTATATTCAACACGCGTATGATTAGAAGTTCTTACCAAAATGTCCGGGATTTTCCCATACACTTCCTCTTTTTTCCCTGCAGAAGAGTTGCCAATGATTTGCATTGTCCTTCCCTTTAGATCGGCGGCGATGACATAATAGTGACAATTGTTACATATTGGGAATATGAACTGCATTGCGCATTGAATTCGATTTGGTTAGCAAGAACATTTTTAAAACATGAACACATACATTGTTACTTCTTAGACTCTTAAGTCGTATGTTAACTTACCATGTCAATCTCTGTCCACTTCTTGTATGGGCTGAAAGTCATCTCGCTTTTCATTTTCCTTTTAAAAGTTTGAGCTGTTGTGCTCGTGTCCCTTTCCATCCCACCACTGTTTCCATCTGTGCATGCATACATAGTCATATTTAGTCAAATACAGTCTTCATATTATTGGAGTTTTTCAAGTATTCCTGTTTTTTTTTAATAAAATAGAATTTGCATACCGTTAGTTTGGTTGATGCAAAGAATCGTGCTGGATCAATGATTTTTTTTGCCCGTTCTTTGTCATTTAGTACGCATGCCCAGCTGTCTATAACTGTCGCGTTCACTTCTTTGCCCGTGTCTAGTGTCAGCAGGTCAGATCTTAATGCTCGTTGGGTGTTAAAGTGGAAGAGTTCCTCGTCCCTGGGTGGTTGCAAATCAGGTGATTAGTAATATTATTTTTCATTAGGTGCTGAATTGTAATGTGATCTTTCTTACTTGTCAGCATTTGCATTCTCGAGTATCCACTTCTTCATCTCACTTGGGGTGGGGGAGTACCATTTTGTGAGCTCTCTTCGTGCTATGCGATCATGCTCTGACGGTGTGCCTTGGTTTTGTGGTAAGTTGGTCGTCTTACCTTCATTACGTTGCACTTTCATTGGTGCCCTTTCTATGGCCCCTCCTTGGTCTCCTCTGTCCTTTCCTTTCGGGTTAATCAGTTGCTGCAAAATGTGTGTTTTAAAATTAATCTTGCTCCCGTGTTTTTGGTCATTATTTGCCCACTGTGTGATTAAACTTTTCGAGACTAGTTTATTTATTTTCACAAATGTAGCTAACTTTTAGACGTCTAATAGCCATACCATGTACATCCGTCTTATATGGTAACATTGCAATGCAGTTTACCACAATGCTGAACAATCAGTCCCCAAACACTTCACAGTCTAACTACCCAAACATTTCACAGATGCACAATTATCAACTTTTTAGTTCAAACTCATTTTCACATATTTCACACATCCACTTCCCAAACCTGTAACTATTTTTAAATCACGCAACATTGGCATTTTGTTTCCCAATATCATGCACATTATTTTAGTTTAAATTATTTTCCATAACGAAGCTTATATCGATTTAGCACGCGACATACCTCCGGAGGTGTGACGAATGAGTCTTCTGGTTGGTTTGGCGTGGGGTGCTTATCATTGCCGTCTTTTGATGCGTTCCTGGTTTCTCTTCCTTCATCTTCCATCTGCATCGCTTCCTCACACTGCGTTTTTGAACATTAAAATCACACTGCCAATCTGATATTGTTCAAAATAATATATTTGTGGTGCATTTTACAGTTGTCCTATTTATGAACATTCCTTTTTTAACTTACAGCATCATCTTCAATCACGGGGTCCTGATTTGGTTCACTCACCACCGGTACAGTGTGCATCTCCTGGGTTAAGCCTAGACTGAATGATGGCATTTCATATGCTGCCTCGGTGTCTCCCATATGCATGTTTATCTCAGTTTGTACTTCTGTCTCCGTGTCGCCTAAATCAGCTTCGCCACCATCCTCACCGGTACTTTTTGATGCACTGCTCACTGCCTCACCGGCACCTTGTGTTTCGGAGTGTGCTTGTTTGTGCTTGCATTTTTCTCTCGCTGCCACATATCGTTGTCCTACTCTTAACAGCAACTTACCCGCCTCCACTAACTTCTCGAACGTTGTAGGACTCAGTGTGCACTTTCCAGCTTCATCCGCAAGTTTAGTGAGTTCTTGCACTTTAGTTATAACCTGATTTGACGTTAAATGACCATTTTGCCCTTATAAATAAATAATTTTAAAAGAATTACATTTTTCTGGCCAAAATTGGCCGGCAATTTGGCCCGGAGGACCAAATCTGCTAATAATTGCGTAGTTAAAGGTTTAAATTGAGAGTTTTGAAAGTCACGTACTCAAATTATCAGTACCCTAATAGTCATAGGACCAAAAGTGCAATTTGTTCTATATATATATATATATATATATATATATATATATATATATATATATATATATATATATATATATATATATATATATATATATATATAAGAGCGTTCATATGTGGTCATGTCATTATGTGTGGCGGTGTGGTCGTATCTGTGTCGTTGAATCAGTTTAATCTAACGG